TAAATATGCTACTGAATGAATAATGGGTTGCAGAAGACATCAAAGAGGAGATTAAAAAATTCTTGGAGGTGAATGAGATCACAGATACAATGTATTGAAATCTCTTGGACATTACAAAGGAAGCACTAAGAGGAAATTTCATTGCATGGAGTTCATTCCTTAAAAGAAGAAAAAGTCAAAAAATTAATGACTTAACATTACATCTCAAAGCCCTAGAAAGGAAGAAAAATTCAACACCAAAGCAGTAGAAGCCAGGAACTAATTATCATCAGAACTGAAATCAATGAAATTGAAAAAAAAAAAGAAATAATTGAAAAAATTGACAAAACAAAAAGTTGGTTCTTTGAAAAAATAAATAGAATTGACAAACTCTTAGCAGTGCTAATGAAGAGAAGGAGACAACTCCAATTACTAACATACATGATGAAAAAGGAAATACCACAACAGACACTACAGATATACAAAAGATAATTAGAAATTATTTTGAAAACTTGTACTACAATAAAATAGAGAATATTGAAAGCATTGACAGATTTCTACAGTCATATGATTTGCCCAAATTGAATCAGGATAATATACACAATTTAAATAGGTCAATTTCAACTGATGAAATAGAAGTTGACATCAGAAGCCTACCAACCAAGAGAAGCCCAGCACCAGATGGATACACAGCTGAGTTCTACAAGACCATAAAAGAAGAACTAATATCAATACTCTTCTATTTATTTCAGGAAATACAAAAAGAGCAGCACTTCCAAACTCATTCTATGAGGCCAATATCACTCTGATTCCAAAACCAGGCAAAGACACATCAAAGAAAGAAAACTATAGACCAATATCTCTAATGAACATAGATGCAAAAGTTCTCAATAAAATTCTGGCAAATTGAATACAAAAACATATCAAGATAATGTACCACAATAAAGTTGGGCTCATACCATTGATTCAAGGTTGGCTTAACATAAGGAAATCAATAAATGTAATTCATCACATCAGTAGACTTAAAGATAAGAACCATGTGATCATTTCAATAGATGCAGAAAAAGCATTTGACAAAATACAGCACCACTTTATGTTCAAAATACTAGAAAAACTAGGGATAACAGGAACATAAAAGCTATCTATGCTAAGCCCCAGGCCAAAATCATTCTAAATGGAGAAAAATTGAAAGCATTTTCTCTAGAAACTGAATAAGACAGGGATGCCCTCTTTCTCCACTTCTATTTAACATATTTCTTGAAACACTGGCCAGAGCAATTAGACAGATGCAAGAAATTAAAGGGATACAGATAGGAAAAGAAGTACTCAAATAAGCACTATTTGCCAATGATATGATTCTACACAGAAGACCCCAAAAAATTCCACCAGAAAACTTCTAGAACTGGTAAATGAATTAAGCACGTTAGCAGGATACAAAAGAAACAACCATAAATCAAAGACATTTCTGTATATCAGTGACAAATCCTCTGAAAGGCAAACGAAAAAAAAAA